TCGCACTCCTTCTTACACTCGTCTCTTTCTTTCTTCCCCGCTACGTACTTCTTCCTCGAATCTTTTTTTTCGTTCTTCAGTCGTTTAATTTCTTTTTTCATTTATTCTCTTTCATGTTCTGTCGCGTCGTCGTTCTTCCTCCAATCTTTATTTCCTTTCTTCAGTTGTTCCTTTTCTTTCTGCAGTCGTTCAATTTCTTTCATTTCTTTTCTTTCATGTCCTGTTGCCTGTTCCACCTGCCTCTGTCTTCCCAACCTGTTCTCTTGCGCATGCTGCCTTTCCACTGCCACCAACTGGGTCATCTCTTGTTCGGCCTTTCTCTAGGCCTCCTCTTTCCGGGTCTTCTCTTCTTCGCACTTTTTCTCCAGCTCGACTATCCTCCCGATGCTCCCGCTCTCTTCCCTCTTCACTTGCTCCAATTCTCTCTTCAATGCCTCAATTTCTTGTAGGTGGCCGTCGATTGTCGCCTCCGCTAGCTGCCTCAACTCCGTGGCACTGTTTATCACTTTCAGATAAATGCGCTCCATCGATAGACTGGGGTTGTCCTCCTGGGTAACAGAAAATAATATTATAATTTAGAAAAGCATAAAATAAAATGATCAACTGCGAAGCTGCAAAGCTTTATTGACATCTCTATGTATGTACCGAAGTATGATATTTACCTGTACGTTTCGTTGGGGGTGGGTGTCGTCCAAGATTTCCTCTACACTTGCATCTCTCACATCGTCGTCTTCATTCTAAAAGTGGAGAGGAGTAAAAGAAATTGAATTAGTAAACAAAATACCCAACAAGAAAAATACTGAAAATTGTACAATATGTACAGGGTGGTCCACAGACCCCTTCCTTTATTTTGCTCATACTGTACCGCATGCAGGCGTGCGGGCGGGCTTGCCTACCGTTTCTCACCACGACGGCGCCTTACGGCCCCGTGCGAGTACGCGACCCGCCCGCACGCCTGTATGCGGTACAGAATAAGCAAAGTAAAGGAAGGGGTCTGTGGACCACCCTGTATATCGAAGTATGATATTTACTTGTGAATTCATCCCCTTATTCCTCTTGGATGCTGGAAGGCTTTTTGCTTCCGTCTGCTTCCTTTTGGACCGTGTTACCACGGAGTTGGTCGTCTTCACCTTCAGTTGGGCTGCAGCAGCCGACACGACTGTGTGGTCTTCATTCTAAAAGTGGAGATGAGTGAAAGAAAGTGAGTTAATAAAAATACCCCAACAAGAAAAATACAGAAAGTTGCACATTAAGCGGCACTTGGCCCCAAAGGACAGCTTACTTCTGTTGTGGGTCGTCGTATGCACTTGTCTAAAGCATCTCTGAAAGTAAAATTTTAAATAAATTAGCACCACAATTTGAAGCATTTGCGCAAGAATTATAAGAGAAAGTTTAACAAACCTAAGCTGCTCCATCATTTCCGGCCTCAATTTCTTGGCGAGCACTATTGCAGTGAATTGGTGCCGCAGAGCGTCGGCATTTCGAATTCCAAAGTTCTAGAGAAAAAAAAGATGTGGTTAACAAAAGTGAGCGAAAACTCCAGCCTAGAGATTGAAAAAATACTCACAGCTTCGCCATTTCCTGCCAGGTCCGCTGTCCGCGCAAAATACATTCCACATTTAGGCGTAATATTAGATCTGAAACATTACACATATGTTACACAGTACGTTCGAAAACGATGAGGCATTCCGAGCAATTACACTCAACAGAGAAAAACTTACCGATAGTCATAGATGTTTTGGAGGTCGTGCTTCTTCACGCTATCCCACACGAAGGTCAAAGAAAAATGCCCCTCATCTTCCACAATGAGCACCCTTACCCCCCCATCTCGAAGAGTAACTGTGTGTCAGGCTCGAACGTATCTCTATACACTACGGCCCCGCCTCCAGACTGTAAGAAGAACAAAACCATGGCTTATGAACAACGAACTCTTCAAAAACTGCGTAAGAAATAAATTACTTGAGAGAGAGAGAGAGAGAGAGAGAGAGAGAGAGAGAACACGAAATAAAACAACACGAATCAGCATACCTGGATATTTCTGGCCAAGGATTGTTTGTCTGAGCAATGGAACAAGTTGAACACAATCGATTCTTGTGTTGGCCGTGTGAACATCTTGGATTCCGGCCACGATTTGTGCACGAATATTATGCGCATAAAATTCTATGCGCTGCGCGCACGAATCGTGGACATAAGTGATAAAACAATGTGCGCACGAATCCCCATTTTAAAGTGAAGTATTTTCCGAGACTTGTTCGC